AACTGGAATCTTTTTTTTTCTGTAACAGACCCCAATAAATAACTTAGCAGCATGAACACCTGTATGTAATTGCACCTCTAATTCCTAAGCACTAACTTGTCCATTGACATGGTAATCATCCACATTTATAGAGCACTTCTTAAATACATACATACAGACATAACCACCGTTTCTATTTACCTCATCCCTTCACAGTCCAGTTGTATATTGAATCAAAGCAAGATTCTGCAAAACTGAACTTCAAGCTTCCCCATTTTGCATGGAAGATTTCTAGCATTTGTGACATTTTAAACCACCATTATATTCTGCACTCATATTTACTATTTTTTTTATGTGCAGTTACAATTGTAGTTGTCAGTGTTTTTAATATAAGGATCTCCTTGTCACCTGCCATCAATCATACCCCACTCTCTCCCATTTCTCTGGTATTGACTGGGCCCTTGTTTGCCCTGTTTGTTCCATTATTTTAAAACTTGCTTCAACCTAGTTTAAAGTGGTTGTAAAGGCTCAATGTTTTTACCTTCATGCATTCTATGCATGAAGGAAAAAAACTTTCTGTGTGCAGCAGTGCCCCCAGCTCCTTCAATACTTACCTGAGATTCATTGCAATCCAGCGATGTGAACAACATCCTTGGCTGTCCCGGGTCTCTGCCTCCTCATTGGCTAAGACAGCAAGCGGGAGCCATTGGCCCCCGCTGCTATCAATCACAGCAAGTCAGCCAATGAGGAGAGAGGGGGAGGGGCAGGGGCGGACTGACAACTCATGGGGCCCCCGGGCAATAGGGGATCATGGGGCCCCTGTGTCCTTGCTCATACCCAAAAAAGCCTATGAAAAAGCCAATGAAAGGTACCAGGGGCATCTCATGGGGCCCCCTATTGACCCCGGGCCCTCGGGCAGTGCCCTAGTGCTCGAATGGTCAGTCCGACCCTGGGGAAGGGTCAAGCCATGGCTCCATGTGTGAATGGACACACGGAGCAGCAGGTGCCCCATAGCAAGCTGCTTGCTGTGGGGGCACCCGACAGGAAGCAGGGGCCAGGAGAGCCTGCAGGGGACCCAAGAAGAGGAGGATCTGGGCTGCTCTGTGCAAAACCACTGCAAACAGCAGGTAAGTATAGACATGTTTGTTATTTTCCGAAAAAAAAAAAAAAACCTTTAGAATCGCTTTAAAGTTGAAAAAAAAACATTTTGGACATTTGATAAAACAAATAAATGACTTCTTATAAAGGGTTTCCCATGTGTGGATATTCCTGTGTTAGTTCAAACTCTTTTTTAAATCTGTAAAAGTGTCAAACTCCCGGTGATGATGATTGTGGGTTGCTCGCTATCCACATCGTCCATTCACAAAAAATCCTGTATTCTTTTCTATTCTTGGTTCTGAATACAGACCAAGGGAGATCATGACATTCATGTGCCCTTCCTCTCCCTTCACCTGTGAAAAGAATATAAAATGTGACACACAGTAAGTAAAATATGTAACAGTAGTATGTAAACAGGTGAAAGTAATTTAAAAATTACAGGCTGCAGCTTTAAAATGTGTTTTTACAGAAAATGTACTATAGCTTTCCATTAACAGCATGCTGTTTGAGGTTTGTGTCCCTTTGCATTATAAAACTGAACTGTCAGTCTTTCTTCCTCTCCTGCGTATTGAGATGTACTGATCAAGTTATAGCTGTGAGCTATTGACCATCAAGCTCTGCAGTGCAACAGGAAAAAAACCTAAAAAAACTATAATATAATCTTTTTATTTTGAATAATGATAATTGATTTATGCTTTATGATAAATTTGGCTCGGTTAACACCCCACCCAACCATGTCCATGATGAAAAAACACTCTTTAGGTATACCATTTTATTAAAAATTATCTTCACCGACAAACAGAATATTTTTAGATCAGAGTGTTTCTTTATCATTGTTGTTCAATAACCACACAATGAGCTCAGTGTGTGACTTTACAAACTATCACAGCTACTCATCTTGAGTTTTGTAAATTCACAGAAATTGAACATATTGAAAATGCCAACAGGAGACTAGATACATAGCTCAGCCAGTCGGAGGCTGGATTGCATTTACAAATTAAACAGCAGTGCCATGTTTGACAGAATGGGGATTTTCATCTTAAACCACCTTCTTGATGGGAAAGATTAAAGAAGGCTGAGGAAAAGTGGACGCAGTCTATCTTGGCTTTTTCTTAGGAAGGAGATGGAATACACCAGTAAGCCGTATAATTATACTCTGAAATCACTCAGGATTTCTCACAGTGCATGAAAGAAAAGACTGAGAGATAATTCAGCTTATTACCACATTGCATTATTGACAGGAGCACTCCAGCTGTATCCCACCGTAATATTTACCATTCATTTCAGCTGTGATAAAGAAAAAAACAACGCTGTTATGTATAATTATAAAACTGTAATGATAAGGTTATAGGTCTAATAAACATATTTCACAGCTTCATTTTTTTCCTACAGCAACTAAAAGCTCAGGTAAGTATTTGGGGGCTGGGGAGCTGCTGCACACAGAAGAGTTTTTCCCTTCATGCATAAAATACTTGAAAGTAAAAAACCTTCAGCCTTTACAACCTTTTTAAGGGACTTGGGAGGTGACCAAGACTGGGTGACCAGAGTACAGTTGCATGTTTTTGACCATTTCTACCCCTAGCAGTGCATGCTCCATTGCAAAGATCAATGCCCAGTAGTAGCCCCCAAGGGAAACAGATAAACTGGATACTAGTATTTATGGGTAAAGTTGATCCAGGGAATATCCAATTGCATCTTTAGGGATCAGGAAGGATTTTTTTCCCCCAGCTGTAGCAAATTGGATCATGCTTTATTGGGATTTTTTGCCTTCCTCTGGATCAACTGTGGGTATAAGTTTGTGTATATGGAGGGGTGTGTGCGTGTAGCCAGGTGCTGGTTATATCATTATGCCATTCAGGGACATTTACAGAAGAGACTATGGCTAAACATTTTCCCCCTAGTGCCCAGTACTGGGATTGCTACATCACGTCCTGTTAGCAGAGTGGATCCAGTTCTTCTGACAGCAGAGGATCCTGGAACCTGTAGTGCTATAGCCAATACATACTGTATTTCTGAGTGCTGATTGAACTACAACTACCAGAGAGCTGATGAACCAGAAGGTTGCTGGGAGAGCAGATATATTCTACAGCAAGGAACTGGCTCACTCTCTTGGTATGTGTGTGTGTGTGTGCGTGTAGCCAGGTGCTGGCTATATCATTATGCCATTCAGGGACATTTACAGAATAGACTATGGCTACACCTTTTCCCCCTAGTGCCCAGTACTGGGATTGCTACATCACGTCCTGTTAGCAGAGTGGATCCAGTTCTTCTGACAGCAGAGGATCCTTGGACCTGTAGTCCTATAGCCAATACATACTGTATTTCTGAGTGCTGATTGAACTACCACTACCAGAGAGCTGATGAACCAGAAGGTTGCTGGGAGAGCAGATATATTCTACAGCAAGGAACTGGCTCACTCTCTTGGTATGTGTGTGTGTGTAGCCAGGTGCTGGCTATATCATTATGCCATTCAGGGACATTTACAGAATAGACTATGGCTACACCTTTTCCCCCTAGTGCCCAGTATTGGGACTGCTACATCACTTCCTGTTAGCAGAGTGGATCCAGTTCTTCTGACAGCAGAGGATCCTGCTGGGACCTGTAGTCCTATAGCCAATACATACTGTATTTCTGAGTGCTGATAGAACTACAACTACCAGAGAGCTGAGGAACCAGAAGGTTGCTGGGAGAGCAGATAGATTCTACAGCAAGGAACTGGCTCGCTCTCTTGGTGCAGGATTCAGAGCTGAATACAGAGGGACTGCCATTCTCCTCTAGAGACAGATTGATGGCTACTACTGCGGGACTCTGCATACCAGTTCAGCACAGCGGTGACGCCGATCACCACAGACATCAGCTTCTCTGCATGGGGACTGTAAATATCCAGCCTTCAGCCAGTAATGTCTGCTTGCTGTGCTGACAGGCTGTCAGGTTGTAGCTCTGCACTTCTTTGCAAACAGCCAAGAGCCTGTGCAAGAACCCTGTTCCTAGGATGCTATCCATGGGGTTGTTGAGCAGGACGATGACTAACCTCTTTTTGATAACACTCTAAAGACACTGCATGCAGACACCTTTACACCTCAGTACCAAGAGACCTTTGCTTTGAGCATTTACCACAGCCAATCTGTTATTTTCATTGAATTACCATTACTCACTACTGTATATGGTCCCCACCACTGCTAGCAGAAAAACTACTACTATCACATCAGGAACTTTAAACATCTCAGGACTCTAGTTGCTTTTTCTAGTTAAAGGGACCCTTTCACATCTAAGCCATTGTTGTTCAAATGAGGGTGTCTATACCCATTTATGCCAGAGTATACAGTGCTCAGCATAAATGAGTATACCCCAACAAATTTCTCAAAAAACCTTTATGTTCCTTTTAGAATCAACATTTTCTATGGGACACTATACTACAAAATACTCCCACAAATGTGGGCCATTGATTGCAAACAAGATTTGTTAATTTGAACACAAAAAAAGTATTTTTCCTAACAAATTCATTCAAGACTATGTTTCAAAAATGAATATACCCCAATGAAAGTCTTAGGAGCATTGCTAGATTTTAGACAACAAAATCCTAATTAACATGAATTTAACTACAGGTGAGTCTAATTATTCATTAACCAGGTGTCCAGCAGTTTGAATATAAAAGGGCATAACTTAACAAAGAAAAACCCTTCCCAGTACATGCTATCAGCAATGGCACCACATGGAAGAGAAATGTCACAAGGCCTGAGTAAGAAAATAATTTCTTTACACAAGAAAGGTGAAGGCTACAAGAAGATCAGCAAAGCTTCACTTATCAGTCAGAATACTGTAACAAAAGTGATACAAAAATTTAACAAAGATGGAACTGTAACCATATCAGAGAGACGTCCAGGCCACCCACAGACGTTAACACCTCAAAAAGGAGCATCTTCTGATGAGAAGGTTTGAAAAAGAAAATTGCCATGCAAGTTCCCTGCAGTTAGCTAAAGAAGTAGAAAGCCAAACTGGGGTGATTGTTTCCCGTGACACAATATGGCGTACACTGCAGGAAAATGGCATACATGGGTGTCATCCACAAAGACAGCCTCTCCTAAAGCCCATGCACAAAAAACCTGCCTAGAAAATGCCAGGGCCCATGCTGAAAAAGAAGAAGACTACTGGGACTCTGTACTCTGGAGTGATGAGAACAAGATAAACATTTTTGGAACTGATGGTTTCAAAACTGTATGGCATCGCAAAGGTGAGGAGAACAAAGAAAAATGCATGGCTACAGTGAAACATGGTGGTGGCAGTTTCTTCTGAGGGGCTGCATGAATGCTGCTGGTGTCGGGGAGCTGCATTTCATTGATGGTATCATGAATTCACAGATTTACTGCTCTATATTGAAAGAGAAGATGCTGCCATCACTCTGCCCTTGGTCGTCGTGCACTTTTCCAACATGACAATGATCCAAAAACACACATCCGAGGCCACTGTTGCATTTCTGAAGAACAGGGTGAAAGTGATTCAGTGGCCAAGTATGTCTCCTGATCTGAACCCAATCAAACATTTATGGGAATTCTGAAGAGACAAGTTGAGCATCACTTTCAATCCCGCATTCAAGTTCTAAAAGAGGTTGTTTGTGGTGAATGGAAAAAGATAGATGTTGCAATATGTCACCAATTTGTTATTTCCATGCCTAAAACACTTAGTGCTGTCCTTACAAATCATGGAGGTCATACAAAATACTAGATGTAGTAGTTTTTGTTGTGGGGTGTATTCATTTTTGCATCAACTAATTTGAGTAAAACTGAAGATTTTGTAATCTAATTTATATTATTATTAAGGTTAACCCTACTTAACCTTACTTCCTAACTGTACTAAGCTAAACAAATGTTCTATAAAACTCAGTTTTGTTAAAAGTTTGAAAATTGTTCTTGTGTTCATTGAGATATTGATTAATATCTTACTTTTCAAAAGGGGTGTACTCATTTATGCTGAGCACTATATATATATATATATATATATATATATATATATATATATATATATAATTTTTCTGTTAACCATTGCTATATGGTTATTTCCATTTTATCAGTGTTTTGCTTTTGTGTTAAATGGGGATGTACCTCCTAAATGTTCATTCTGTGGTCTACTCTTTTGAAAAAGCCTAATATAGAGGTGTTACTAATTGTGTCTCTAGCATTATTATTCTATACTGTTGAAATATGTCTGAATCCAGAGTGTCAGAGGTGTCTGGAGGCGTGCAAAGTCAGGGCAACAACTGGGGACAATCATTATCAAGCAGCCCTATAGCGCTATATATATATATATATATATATATATATATATATATATATATGCTTCAGCATCCAGCAGACTGCGAAATACCTCTCTGTATAAAATCTAACAAATCAAAAGATGGAGCACCAGTCTTTCTACATTTTATTCAAACTTCCATATTACAAAGAACCAAGTACAACAGTTTCGGGCAACACTGCCCTTCCTCAAGTTCACACTTGTGAACTTGAGGAAGGGCTGTGTTGCCTGAAACTGTTGTACTTGATTCTTTGTAATTTAGAAGTTTGAATAAAAAAGAAACAGAAATCTGGTGCTCCATCCCATTGAATTGTTTTTGATTACACACACATACTGTATGTGTGTGTGTATATATATATATATATATATATATATATATATATATAAAAGCAAATGCAAATATTTGCGGGAGGCTGTAGGAAGGGTGTAGGAAGGGGGAACTGGAGATTCCTAGTGTTGGGAGTTAGGAAAACTGATAATGCAAACATAATGGGTTACCAATGGTAGGTTGAAGATTTACTAAAGGCAAATAGGCTGTTTACTTTGCAAGGGAAGCTTTGCATTGGTATTTTCCCCAGAGCTTAGTGAATAAGGTAACGCTCTGCTGACTGCCATCATTCAAACATGTTGAAGCAAAAATGCTGCTTTTTTGTTTGCTTTGCACATGATTGTGTGTTCATTGCAAAGTCATATTTCATCACATTCACTTAGCTCTGAAGAAAGTTCCCATGCAAAATGCACCTTGACTTGCAAAGTGAACAACCTGTTTGACTTTAGTAAAGTAACCCCAAAGAGTCAACAGTTATTAAGGTTAAATCAGTCATAACTGGGGTCAAACTAGAGGATCCATGGTATAAGCAATCCCATCTACCTAGTAATCCTTGTTCCAAGGGACTTGCTGTGTTCTCTTCCACTTGGTTGCCCCAAGTTTTTATTGCTCAAGGAACCTTTACTTCTATATAAAAGGACAAGCCCTAGATCATATAAAGACACACTTGGAGAGCAGAAATTAGATGGGAAAATGAGAAAGAAGTCAAACAAACCAGACATGACAGAAAGCCACCAAAAAGGGAATACAGAGGATAACACAGGCCTACAGATCTAGCAAATATGGTATTTAGAATACTGGAAAAAAACTACAGGGAGGTACAGGTGAAACTTGAAAAATTAGAATATTGTGCAAAAGTTAATTTATTTCAGTAATGCAACTTAAAAGTTGAAACTAATATATGGGATAGACTCATTACATGCAAAGCAAGATAGTTCAAGCCGTGATTTGTCATAATTGTGATGATTATGGCTTACAGCTCATGAAAACCCCAAATCCACAATCTCAGAAAATTAGAATTTTACATGCAATCAATAAAACAAGGATTGCACATAGAAAAATATCAGACCTCTGAAAAGTATAACCATGCATATGTACTCAGTACTTGGTTTGGGCCCCTTTTGCAGCAATTACTGCCTCAATGCGGCGTGGCATGGAAGCTATCAGCCTGTGGTGTTATGGAAGACCAGGATGCTTCAATAGCAGCCTTCAGCTCTTCTGCATTGTTCGGTCTCATGTCTCTCATCTTTCTCTTGGCAATACCCCATAGATTCTCTATTGGGTTCAGGTCAGGCGAGTTTGCTGGCCAATCAAGCACAGTAATCCCACGGTCATTGAACCAGGTTTTGGTGCTTTTGGCAGTGTGGGCCGGTGCCCAGTCCTGCTGGAAAATGAAGTCAGCATCTCATAAAGCTTATCTGCGGGAGTAAGCATGAAGCGCTCCAAAATCTCCTGGTAGACGGCTGCATTGACCCTGGACTTAATGAAGCACAGTGGACCAACACCAGCAGATGACATGGCTCCCCAAAAGTTCCTCTCATCAGAACAGAGGACTGTGGACCACTGAGCAACAGACCAGGTCTGTTTTTCTTTAGCCCAGGTAAGACACTTCTGACGTTGTTTGTTGTTGCAGCTTGACAAGAGAAATACAACATTTGAAGCCCATGTCCAGGATCCGTCTGTGTGTGGTGGCTCTTGATGCACTGACTCTAGCCTCAGTCCACTCCTTGTGAAAGTCCCCAACACTTTTGAATGGCCTTTTCCTGACAATCCTCTCCAGGCTGCGGTCATCCCTGCTGTTTGTGCACCTTTTTCTTCCACACTTTCCCCTTTCACATAAGTTTCTATTAATTTGCTTTGATACAGCACTTTGGGAACATCCAACCTCTTTTGCAATTACCTTTTGAGGCTTTCCCTCCTTATGGAGGGTGTCAATGATGGTTTTCTGCACAACTGTCAGGCCAGCAGTCTTTCCCATGATTGTGATTCCTACTGAACCAGACTGAGAGACCATTTAAAGGCTCAGGAACCCTTTGTAGGTGTTATGGCTTAATTAGCTGATTAGAGTGGGACACTTTGAGCCTAGAATATTTCACCTTTTCACAATATTCTCATTTTCTGAGATTGTGGATTTGGGGTTTTCATGAGCTGTAAGCTATAATCATCACAATTCTGACAAATCACGGCTTGAACTATCTTGCTTTGCATGTAATGAGTCTATCTCATATTTTAGTTTCACCTTTTAAGTTGCATTACTGAAATAAATGAACTTTTGCACGATATTCTAATTTTTTGAGTTTCACCTGTACATGGTCTGAAGCAAAGCACAGGGAGAATGTGGAACAGCAAGGTGGAAAAACACAGAGCAGAGTATGCTGGTAATAAACTAACAAGGCATAAACTCAAACACAGACTAATACCAAAACAGCAGGAACATGGGAGAATGCAGTCCTGGCACCTCCAGCACTGAATTTTATATAATGGCAAGGGGTGCTGGGGTGTGCTGGAGGGTCTATTGATGCTTGCTACTAGGAGATCTATTGTTGCTTTTTTTGAGTTAGGGGTCTATTGCTGCTGGAGAGGGAAATGTTGCTAGGGGTTCCTATCTTTCTGGGGGTTAATTTGTTGCTGGGAGGGATCTATTGTTGATGGAGGGGGCCTATTATTGCTAGCAGCTGGAGGGTTTAGAGATCTGATGTTGCTGCTGGAGGTCTATTGTTGCTGGCTGCAGGGGATCTATTTTACTGCTTTATTTTGACAAATTCCAAATTACTTAGCACAACAATATGACACTTGGTTCTGTGTTCTCTAAAAGGGGTAGTACTGGAAGGTGGGTAGGAGGTGGAACCAAGGAACGATGCTTTAAGGTGGGTGGGGGTGGAAACAGGGGTGACTCAGAAGATTGGAGTTCCTCTTCTCTGAGAAAAAAAGCTCTGCCAAACAGTATTCGCTTGGTACTTGCACTAGGTTCCCCCTAGTGCTTTTTGTTTTTTATAAACCACTACCTGTATTTGAGTAAATGAAGGTATTGGGATCTGATGCATCTTTGTAGAGCAGGGACTGGATGAGTTAAAATGAGTTATGTGCTACACTTCAACTAAATTCAGGTCAACATTGCCATTCTCAGATAGGCTGGACCTGATTGCACTGTATTGGAATGAAAGAATGTTGCAGGGAGTATGGCTATTATCAGGGGCGGACTGACCATTTGGAAACCCGGGCACTGCCCGAGGGCCCGGGGTCAGTAGGGGGCCCCATGAGATGTCTCTGGTACCTTTTTCATAGGCTTTTTTGAGTTTGGGCAAGGACACAGGGGCCCCATGATCCCCTATTGCCGGGGGCCCCATGAGTTGTCAGTCCGCCCCTGGCTATTATCATTGCCACTGATGAATAACAAGCCTGTAGCTTCTCAGTCCACACCTGGGCACACCTAGTCCTACCCACTGATGACAGAAAAGCCTCTGTTGCTGAAACCCTCCCATTGAAAACTGCAGTATCTGGGAGGGAAAACATGTGAGACACAAATGAAGGAGGATTTGGTTCAGTCATGAAAGATAAAGAAATGCTTTTTTATAAGGCTTATCTTACTTATTTAGACATATAGGAGACTTTAGTTACATATATTTTTGCACTTCTGATAACCACTTCTCTGGAACTTCACTAGTGCCCTCTCATTCTCCGGGACTCTGCTGACCCACGTCTCCCATTGCAAAGTTGTTTTTTTTACCTTAAAGTTACAACTCCCCATTTTTCTATGCATTTTGTTCTCTTTTGCATGATCATTTATGCATGTGTTGCTCTTACCCCCTAATGGGCCGCTGTATTGGGATCTGATGCATCTATGGAGAGCAGGGACTGGATTAGAAAATGAGTTAAAAGACTGGCAAACTAGAAATTACAGCTTTCAAGCAGAAAATGCACAGAGTAATGGGTACTGCATGGCTACACAACACAGGACTCTACTCGACAGACATCTACTGGAAAAGAAGTAATAGCTGGTGCATATGGAAACTATGGGAAGGCAAGTGAAAATAGGGAGCAGGAAGTCTAGACAAACACAGGGCAAAGAAAACTGGAAAACAAATACCAAGGCAGAGAAAAGTGACCCAAAAGTGGACTAACACAAGACAGAGTCAAAATACTTAAAGTGTTACTAAACCCAGGACCTTGCATTCACACTTTCTGGTCTCCCACAGTACACAGGACATGGAAATCCAAATATTTTAGTAAATATAAACTGCTATATATCTTTTCCCACCAGTAGTTAGAGCAGTCTTGTGACTTCTATCAGTGTCCAGCAAAGCACTGGTTACAGCTTGTAGGAGGAGTTTTCATTCTCCTGTAGGAGGATGCAGGACCCCTGACCTCTGTCTGAGTGCTGATTGGCCCTGTGCTGATCACATGCACTTTCTCAAGAATAAAAAAATTCTCTAGCAATACACACCAAACTGAGCATGTGCAGCTTACCTCCGGACCTCTGTTCTATCAGGAGATATTTAGGAGACACTGAAAGAATGGGAGGATGAGAGAGGAGTGGCTCAAACATCCTTTTTACACAATGTGGAGGATTAACCCCTTAGGTTCCACAGTGAGTATAACAAGCATGCTTTACTGCATATACAGACTGATTTTACTGTTGTGGGTTTAGTAAGACTTTAAGGTAAGCTAACTAGTATGGTGGTTTTAGAATCAGAAGGCTGTGAAATTCGGAGACATCAGGATGACATACACCCCTATTTAGGATTCATGGAAACATAGGCTAGGATTGGGACAGAAAGAACGTGGACTAGCAAAGCCTAGCAGAAGGAGTCATTCTTACATTTGCTCAACCATTGCTTTGACAAGACACAACTGAGGACAAGGTGGAGACACATACTGAAATTCAAACACAGACAGGTAATAATGGAGATTTGGAAACAAGTATGTAAGAAAAAATAGCCCAACAGGAAGAGTAAGTACACGAAGAACCCAGGATTCATTTCAAGAAGACGCTCACAGAAGAGTCAATCTGCGTTGTTCCTGATAGCTTATAAATGTATTCACAGTCAAGAATCTCTTTGTAAATAAAACTTGACTCTTTAGTTAGCCCAGCTTTCCACCTTGCCAGATCATTCTGGTCTATGAAAAAGAAATGTTTGCTCCATTTTCGTAACAGTAAAACAAAAATCAGCAGTGACATACCTTATTTTGCGCTCCATAAGATGCACCTGACCATAAGACGCACCTAGGTTTTAGAGGTGAAAAACAAGAAAAAAAATATTCTGAACCAATGGACTGCAGACACAGTACAGGAGATGACCAGAGACTGCGGACATAGTACAGGGAATGACCAGAGACTGCAGACACAGTACAGGAGATGACCAGAGACTGCGGATATAGTACAGGGAATGACCAGAGACTGCGGACACAGTACAGGGAATGACCAGAGACTGCAGACACAGTACAGGAGATGACCAGAGACTGCGGATATAGTACAGGGGATGACCAGAGACTGCGGACACAGTACAGGAGATGACCAGAGACTGCGGACATAGTACAGGAGATGACCAGAGACTGCGGACACAGTACAGGAGAATGACCAGAGACTGCGGATACAGTACAGGGGATGACCAGAGACTGCGGACACAGTACAGGAGATGACCAGAGACTGCGGACACAGTACAGGAGATGACCAGACACTGCGGACACAGTACAGGGAATGACCAGAGACTGCGGATACAGTACAGGGAATGACCAGAGACTGCGGACATAGTACAGGAGATGACCAGAGACTGCGGACACAGTACAGGAAATGACCAGAGACTGCAGACATAGTACAGGAGATGACCTGTGACTGCAGACATAATACAGGAGATGACCAGAGACTGCGGACATATACAGTACAGGAGATGACAGTACATGAGACTGCAGACAGTACAGGGGAGGACCAAGAGACTGCAGACAGTACAGGGGATGACCAAGAGACTACGGACCTTTGGGGAGGGGGGGAGCGGGTACCTGAAGTTGTCCTTTCTTTAGTGTGGGCACGCTAGCTTCTTCCGTGCCGGCTTCTGTGACAGCCGGGTGCCCACTGCGCATGCGCGAGAAGCGCTATGCTTTGTGAATGGCCCGGCGCCTTCTGGGATCTGTCATGTGTCCCAGAAGTCGCCCGACCATTCACAAAGCGCAGCGCTTCTCGCACATGCACAGTGGGCACCTGGCTGTCACAGAAGCCGGCGAGGGAAGACTACAGCGCTGGACAGAGGAACAGGTAAGGTCCTGCAGGAGAGAAGAGCTGAGCGGCCGGCCCGGTATTCTGACATGGTGGCGGAGGTGGAAATACCGGACCGGCCGCTCCATATTCACTCCATAAGACGCACTGACATTTCCCCCCCCCCCTTTTTGGGGGGAAAAAAGTGCATCTAATGGAGCAAAAAATACGGTATGTTATGTAACATTTTGTATAGGAAGGACAACAAAAACTGTACTGTTTCATGCTTCTAAAACAACAAAAGCACTACCTAATCTGTTTATATACAGTTATACTCAAAAGTTTGCATACCCTGGCAGAAATCACGAAATTTTGCATTTTAATTGAAAACATGGCTGATCATACCAAAAAAATGTATTTTATTTAGGGATAGTGATCATATTATTAAGTATCACTTAATTGTTTGGCTCCTTTTTAAATCATAATAATAAATCACCCAAACAGCCCTGATCCAAAGTTTTCATGCCCTGGAAAGTTTGGCCTTGGTAAAGATGCACAAGGTGACACACACAGGTTAAAATTTCAATTAAAGGTTAATTTCCCACATCTGTGACTTTTTAAATTACAATTAGTGTCTGTGTATAAATTGTGAATACGTTTGTTAACTTTCACGTGGATGCACCGAGTAGGCTAGATGAGCCATGGGGAGCAGAAAAGAACCGTCAAAATACCTGCGTAACAAGGTAATGGAACATTATAAACATGGAAAGGGATGGAAAAGATATCCAAAGCCTTGATTATGCAAGTCAGTACTGTTCAATCACTTATTAAGAAGTGGAAAGTTTGGGGATCTCTTTATACCAGGGCAAGGTCAGGTAGACCAAGAAAGATTGCAGCCATAACTGCCAGAAGAATTATTTGGGATACAAAGAAAAACCCACAGGTAACCTCAGGAGAAATACAGGCTGCTCTAGAAAAAGATGGAGCACAAATTGTCAATACTTGAACAAAAATGAGCTGTATGGTTCAGTTGCCAGAAAGAAGCCTTTACTGTACCAATGCCACAAAAAATCCAGGTGAAGCTTGTCAAGGTTTTGTCAGGCATATTGTTATGATAATAAGTATCATCATATTGTGCTCCTTAAAAAAAAAAACACCGTCTTTTTTAGAGCAACCTGTATTTCTCCTGAGGTTACCTGTGGGTTTTTCTTTGTATCCCAAACAATTCTTCTGGCAGTTGAGGCTGCAATCTTTTTTGGTCTACGCACAGGTAACTTCAGGAGAAATACAGGCTGCTCTGGAAAAAGACAGTGTGGTTTTTTTAAGGAGCACAATACGACAATACTTATTATCATTACAATATCCCGACAAAACCTTGACAAGCTTTACCAGGCTTTTTTGTGGCATTGGCACAGTAAAGGCTTCTTTATGGCAACTGGACCATACAGGTCTTTTTTGTTCAAGTATCGTTGCATTGTGCTCCTTAAAAAAAAAACACACCATCTTTTTGTAGAGCAGCCCGTATTTCTCCTACCTGTGGGTTTTTCTTTGTATCCCAAATAATTCTTCTGGCAGTTGAGGCTGCAGTCTTTTTTGGTCTACCTGACCTTGCCTTGGTATCAAGAGACCCCGGAACTTTCCACTTCCTAATAAGTGATTGTACAGTACTGACTGGCATATTCAAAGCTTTGGATATCGTTTTATATCCCTTTCCATCTTTATAATGTTCCATTACCTTGTTAAGCAGGTCTTTTGACAGTTCTTTTCTGTTCCCCATGGCTCAGTATCTAGCCTGCTGAGCGCATCCATGTGAGAGCTTACAAACTCATTGACTATTTATACACAGACACTAATTGCAATGTAAAAAGCCACAGATGTAGGAAATTAACCTTTAATTGCCATTTTACCATGTGTGTGTCACCTTGTATGTCTGTACCAAGACCAAACATTCCAGGATATGTAAACTTTTGATCTGGTCTATTTGGGTGATTTCTGTTATCATTATGATTTAACAAGGAGCCAAACAACAATGTGTTTCTAAATGGCTTCATATGGTCACTTTCCTTAAATAAAATACATTTTTGGCATGATCAGTCATATTTTCAATATAAATGCCAAAATGTCATGATTTCTGCCAGGGTATGCATACTTTTGAGCATGACTGTATATGACCCAAGGTGGAGTAGCTTGCAGTAAAGGATGGCTAGACATTTAAAAAAAAAAATGTAATTAAATAAAAAAGAGTTATAACACTGAGTCCTGGTTCACACTGCTGCAAATTCTATGCAAATCAGATGTGTTCAGAAAAGCACAGATTTGCATGTAATGTCAACAAGCATTATTTCCAGTGAGGCCTGTTCACATATACGAGGTGCGAATTTGATCCATTTCAAAAAAGGGTCCTGAGTTTAGTGTGGGGTGTGGTACAAATTTCACCTCCTACTATACCCAGTCCCCTCAGGAATCGCATTCATTTTGCACCTGTCACAGCAGAAGTCGCACTGTGAAACCGCATCACATTCGCATCACACCAGTGTTAACCGACACTAAAATACAATACATATAGTAACAAAGAAACAAATTAACGAAGAAAAAAAATACCCAAAACTGAAAACAGGCATTGGTCAGTATCAGACATTTATATGCACTTTATGATGGAAATCAGTTCCAAGAAACTTTAACAAAGCTTTAATTGTTCAAGAAGACACAAGTTAATACAAAACTTGATGAAAAAAAAAAAAAATATATTATTTATTTATTTATTTATTACATCGAGTTTATATAGCGCCAAAGGGTTTGCTCAGCGCTGTACAATATAGGGGGGACAATACATGGCACAGTACAACAAAAACAGACAGCGTACGAGGGGTAAGAGGGCCCTACTCTTTTAAGCTTACAATCTAGGAGGGAGGGGAGGGGTAGTGGAACAATAGGAAGTGCTGAGGGGAATGAAGTGGCTGAGGGGGATGAAGTGGTGGAGGAATGAGGGAGGATGGCCGTTAGGTGAGGGTGGGGTAGGCTTCCCTGAAGAGATGGGTTTTGAGGGAGCGCCTGAATGTGGGGAGAGAAGGCGACAGTCGGATGGATTGGGGCAGTGAGTTCCAGAGGATAGGGGAGGACCTAGAGAAGTCCCGCAGTCGTGCATGGGAGGAGGAGACCAGGGAGCAGGATAGAAGGAGGTCCTGTGAGGAGCGAAGGGTACGGGTAGGGTGGTACTTGGGGATCAGGTTGGTGAGGTAGTTAGGGGCAGTGTTGTGAACGGCTTTGTAGGTCAGGATTAGAAGTTTAAATTTGATGCGTTGGGCAATCGGGAGCCAGTGGAGGGAGAGGCAGAGGGGGGTGGCAGAGGTGGAGCGGGTGGTGAGGTGGATGAGACTGGCCGCTGAGTTCAGGATGGTCTGGAGCGGGGAGAGCCTGCACTGGGGTAGGCCAATGAGAAGAGAGTTGCAGTAGTCAAGGCGTGAGATGATGAGGGAGTGTACAAGAAGTTTGGTGGTGTCTGGGGTGAGGAAGGCACGTATCTTGGCAATATTGCGGAGAAGGAGCCTGCATGTGTTTGCAAGTGATTTGACATGAGGGGAAGGAAGGAGAGGTTCGAGTCAAGAAATGACGCCAAGGACTTTGGCTTGCGGGGCGGGAATGATAGAGGTGTTGGTGGTGGTGATGGATAGGCTGGGGGGGGGGTGTGGGCAGGGGGAAAGACGAGGAGTTCGGTTTTGGAGAGGTTAAGCTTGAGGAAATGGAGCGACATCCAGTCTGAGATGTCGTTTAGGAGGTGAGTGATAATAGTAATAATGCAATAATATTTTTATCATCAGTTTACAGATAGACTTTTAGCCTTATTCATAAGATATTGGATTGTATTACTGCTGAATCGGACATTTGGACAGGGGTGTATTTGCTGTGAGGCAAACAAGGCGTTTGCCTTGAGTGGCATTTTTCAGGGGGGGGCAGCGGACACATGTAGCAGGTGATAGATGATGGGGACCAGGTGAGGCATTGCCTGAGCTCTGCCATAGGATCCAAGAGAGGCTGCGGCTGCTGGAGAGTGTAGGTAGAGACCGACTCTTGTTTCCACACAAGGATGACACTGAGCTTTCCTGACCATGTCTCCGACGATGGCCAGCTGCTTTCATTCCTGCAGGAACGTATCTCGCTCCATTCTCTTCTCTCTCCCTCTCCTCTCTCTTTCTCTCTCCTCTCTCCTTTTTAGACTGTGTGTGTGGGGTCCCTGATTTAATGTTGCCTATGGCAGCACAAAATACACCGCTGCTATTGGAGATCCATGATATGATTAGTTGGTGGTCCATTATTATATGGTTATAGAGGCAATGCAAGGGGCTCATTGAGGACAGTGTGTGTGTGGGGGGGGGGGGGGATGCAAAAATAAGAAGTGTAAAAGCTGATTGGGGATTGGAGAGTTTTTAGGCTGTGGGGAATAGAGGAGGCTAATCAGAAGTGAATATGGCCATACACTGAGTGACTTTTATTATGTTCGTGATTAAATTGCCTAACTTTGCTTGGGTGGCCCTATTGGCACTCCAGGTGGGCACCAGGCTGTCTCCTGCCCAACATTTTTCAATTGAAAAATCAAAAGGAACCAGGTGGAGAATAATCGATTAACAATCATCCAATCTGATGCAGCTGCTGTTTGAAATACAATAGCTCCAGTGGGAGATTCAT